CTTATACTTATAACCAATACATTTCTTGATTTGTGTGTATTGACTGTTGACCACCCCTCATGTTTTTCTTATAAATTTTATTCATTGTGTGCATATTTATACTGGGACATGGTCAAAACTTGTATACCCCGCTCGAAGGCTTTGCAGAGATAATGTCTAGGTATGAGCTCCACCTCTAATAGGTCATAAAAAAATTTGTGATTTTTATAAAAAATACCATCGTCATCAAAACATTTTCTCATCCAAGTCTTCCCAAAAGTGAAATCACAGCGCTCCCCATGTCACATCACAAACAGTCTTCTGGAAAAGCTATTTCCATTTTCTTCTTTTGCAAGAATATTAGTTGTTTTGGGAAATCGGTTATGAAAATTTGTCTGTTGCTTCTTAGTGGCCATTATAATTCCAAAACAAAAAAACACAATTTTATTACATTAAAAAAATTAATTAAACAAACAGACATCATAATCATAGATCTAGCTTACTTTCTACCTATGTGTATATATGTATACAACAGATTTTTCACAATAGGGCTGACATTTATACAGGGAAATAAAATAAAAATATATAAAATGAACAACTTGTCTACTTTCAGATTGAAATTTAAGGCCTATACTTTTTCAGTTGTTAGTTTTGAACAGATAATATTATTATTCAAACTAACGTACATTACAATATTTATTTGGTACCTTTTTTTAAAGGCACTCTTACTCTTGGCAGCTAAATCTGGCTAACTCTATGGCTGTTAAATTTGGAAACAAAAGTATAGTTCTGTGGGAAATATATATTTAGGATTTACAACTTATTTCAATTCATTTTTAACGCTAGTCATTAAATACTCTTGGCAGCTAAATCTGGCTAACTCTATGGCTGTTAAATTTGGAAACAAAAGTATAGTTCTGTGGGAAATATATATTTAGGATTTACAACTTATTTCAATTCATTTTTAACGCTAGTCATTAACGACTCCTTCAACAGAAAATTACAATTCCTTCCATAGTCAGAAAATCTCTGATCACTCAGGGGCCTACTGCTAAGAATATTTTATAGGTGTTTTTTTTACTTAGTTTATATAATACAGCCAACAAATTTGCTAAATAATTTTTAGCAAACAGCAGTTTTATTTATTAAAATATTTTTAGACTGATTTTATCTTTAAATTCTATGCTTGTTAAAAAATTAGCACCTCTCTGGCGAATTTAAATATTTTTATTCCATATTGTGCGCATATAAAAATAGCTAAGTTTTGTTCTTATTTATCTCATGCTTTTTCAAGACCTGAAATGAAACTTTTTTTACTTCATGTCACATAGTACAATATTATTTGCCATTTTGCTGTACACTTGCCTTACTATGTCACTATTTCTTAGCATAGATGCATAGTAAATAACCAATTTTTTTATTAAGCTTACTTTTCAATATCTTTTACTTTTAAATGTATATATAAAATAATATAATTTTCTTATACATTTTTAAGAAGGTTTTTACATTTTCCATCCAAATTTAGTTGGAGTGGTGTTAGTTTCAGAACAGGAGCCACATGCTCTATCCAGAATTCACCCCCCCCCCCTCAAACCCCTTTTTACCAAAACCACTAAAAATATGAAGTGTCAAACTTGATTGACCTAATGTGTCAAAATGCCCTTTATAAAATTAATTAGGCCATACAAACACTGTGCTGCGTAGCGAAGCCCCTTTTTACTGATTGGATATCAGTAGAGATGCTTTTTAGTACAAAGGGCATCCTTAGCAATATTTTTCACACATTCTAAGCTCAAAAGAGCTCATTATCATTAAGGCCAAAACAAAATGCTTCGGAGTCTCTTTAAGCCGCCCTGCTATGCAGAAGTAATTAGTAGTTTCCTATACAATAATGCAGTTCACAGAATCATGTGTGGCAGGGTGCTAACATTTTGTATCATTATTTCTCTCTTTCAACAAAAATAATTAAAGTGAGCTTGGTTAATTGCATTGTTATTGTCACTATACCAATTAAATTATAACCATTAAGTCTTTTATACAAAATCAGTGCAACATTTTGATGCTTTTGCTCAAGTTAAAAAAAACTATTTAGCTTTTATAAAATTATTTAATTTGAGATTAATTCACTCAATTGTTCTATTAACATTATTAATGAGGTTTGGTTGTTGGTTTTCTTCAGATTGTGACATCAAATTGACTTAAATCATTACTTTAATATCTGATTGATAACTTTTTAAAAAAATAACATACAATAGTTAATTTAAGTTATGCTTTTACCTGAAACAAAGCACTGAAATCATGTATCTTGTCATTGCCATGTTTTGAACATATACAGTTCATTTTTCATTAACTCAATAAAGCATGGGTTTCCCAACTTTATTTTACTCTTATCCTATTTTAAACAATTAATCTAGGCATCCCCCTTATTTCATATAAATAAACTTATCTTTATGGGACCTAATTTCATCTAGTATGTGCTTTCTAGTTTGGAAACCACCCCTGTCAACTGAAATCTTTTATTTTAGTTAACGTATAAACTTTTTGAAAAATTCAAAAATCAGTTCATCAAATAAAGGAAACAAGACCCAAATGTTACTTGTCTCTGTTTATGTTGATTCATACCTACAATGAGGAAAATATAAACTAAATCAGGCATCCATTAGTGATTAGTGAGCTCATTATTACTATTAGATCCATTGTGCTGTGTGAAAAACTGATAGTCGCCAGAAACATACATTTTTAAGTCAGGACTTTCTAATCAGAATAATTATGTAGAAAAAAAACAGTAGTCTAGACCAGTGTTTCCCAAAGTGGTGTCCATGGACCCTCATAGGTCCATGAGCCTCTATGTCTGGTCTGCACAACATAAATATTTTTGGTTAAATAAAACATAACTGACATTCTTTTGAATCCTGGTACAATACTTCAAAACATGTCCAGTTTGGGAAACGCTGGTCTAGACTATGTTTAAATAAAGCCTAATAGTACTTTATGCAGAAATAATTTTAAAAAGTTGTTTATTTTGTTTCCTTTATAAATAAAGCTAAAATGATCTCCTTGTCAAGAATTAGATCAATAAAATTAACATTCACCTTAAACTTAAACTTAAATCAGTTTAACTGAAAACTGAAAACTGTTATTGCTTTTATTAGCCTTCATAGAAATGTATATTTTTTACCAGGCAAATTACTGTGGCTTATTTGTAAGCTGGCAAACTGCAGACGTGGTAGATGGGTACCAAACTTCAAAAGAATGAATTTGAAAGAAGAAAAAAAATATAATTATTCTGTTTTTTTTAAATTTATAGTTTTTTTCCACTTCAACAATTATTATAAGATTACCTTTTATTTCATTTGAGAAGAAACTTTTTTTTGTAAGTTATTTTAAAATTTTAATAAATTGTTCCTTAATTATAACTTAAACTTTAGTAAAGACATTCTTCAACTATTCAATTCAGTTTGGAACATAAATACAGCAGACAAAAGATACTAAAGCACAAATCATTAGATATTAAAAAAATTTTATAATTCATATTGATAACAATTCAAAACAATTCTTGTGTCATAATTCATTGCATTAATTCTTTAATCGCCCTTATTCAATGTCAAAATATGTCAGTAACGATCACATTAGAAAAAAAATCTTGGTAACTACATGCGCAAAGATTTGTAAGATTGCAGATTACTGTATTGAGGTTTCCATAATAAGCATTTATTCTTTCTTTTATTTTAGCAGTTTTATAACACCTCACTATAACTATCATTACAAAGAAATAGAATTAACCTAAATATACTAAAATGAACTATTACAAAATTTCAAAGTTATATCTATATGCAGATGTTTAAACTGTGCATTGAAATAATGATTAAGTCCACTGAACTGAAAGATCATATTTTAAATCTAATGTTTAAAAAAACTTGTTTAAAGGACAAGTGATCAGTTTTTATGGCATGAATATTCCTAGGTATTAAGGGCTAAAAAATACACGTTCTAAAAATAACATGAAACCTACATTTTCTGAAATATGGTGCGATCATCTGGGACCCACACCTGAAGCAAGACGTGGACACGATGGAGCTATTTCAACGAAACGTGGCGCGTTTTATCGCTTGCGACTACAAATCCACTACTCCTGGCTTCGTCACTGGCCTCTTATTAAGATTTGACATCCCTCCCCTTAAAGACAGACGAGAGGGACTCCGCCTGACTTTCTTATATAAAGTGATCATGGGACTGGTGCCGGCCATCCCAGCAGACACGTACCTCACCCCACAGAAGCCGGGTAGACTGATCAGAGCAAAACACTCACTGAACACGGACTTCACCACTGACATTCCCAGTAACAATAGCAAATGCTTCAAAGTGCCTCAGTGCAGTATCAACAATCTTTCTTCCCACACACAATAATAGCATGGAACAACCTGAACGATGCCACTGTGAACTCGACATCAGTCGAAAGCTTCAAGGCTGCCCTGGCATCAGCTAGGAGCTGTTAGAATAGCAACATCATACCCCCAACCGTTGCAAAAATGCCAATACATGAATGCAGTGACGAAACATTACCAGAACCAGAACCTATTCCCATGTTATATAATTTTTTAGACTAACCTCAGTTATAATATGTGCTAAAAATATTGCTTTATTTCTATATCCATAACTTATATTAATTATTTAGTAATTGTACATTACACAAATTCTAAAAAAATATTTGAAGATTAATATTTGAAGTTTTCTTTTTCCTTGTTTGTTACATTTTTTATTAGTCACTTAATATTTCAGTGATAGAATTTTGAAGATAGACATACCACTATAGCTGGGCTTTCCTTTTTGGGATAGATGTCAAAGTAATGAATGCAAAGAACAATCCCTATAGGTTAAACTTAAGCCAATTTTATTTTAAACAATCTTATTAATATGTGTCACTTAATTCATCCTATATTTAATGTGCATTTATTCAAAAGGCAGTCCTGTGTCTTTAATATCAAAATTTTTAGTGTAACAGCATTTTTGTGTTAATAAGTCAGCAAAATGCAAGTTGTACGTTTATTCTTGCCCCTGTGACTTTTGCTTCTTATTTCGGTAAAATCTTGTTTCTACTGGATCCAAGCCTTGTTCCTTAGAACCATAAACTGCCCAGTTTGGTGTAGAGGCCATATAATCAGATGAAGAGAATGTCTCTTTCCCATTGCTTTCTTGGTAACAACGCCACAGCTTGTGAAATTGAGGGAAGCGATCCAAGTCCACCACTCACCATCTTTCTTAAACTTGATTGTGAGAAAATGTAAAGATATCAACATTAATTTATTCATTTATTGAATTGCCTTATAAATCCTTCTGTTTGAAAAATCTTGTATGTGATGGAAATATATTAATGTATGTAAATTAAAATTAATTTTTTAAATTTCCCCAAAAATAGATATTTCAAAATAATTATCATTATTCGGATCTATAGATAATTTTTTGTAGTGCTAGCCATCTATTGCATCCTAGTCTATTTCCAGTCATCCTAAGTCTTCCCATTGGATCAAATGGGCAAGGAAAAGTGAGTGAGGCTGATGAATTGAGGAACTCTCCCTCACTTTAAACAAAATATAGCTCAAGTCATAGCTACTACTCAAGCCATGATCATCTTCGCAAGGACAAAACAATAACCATAGACAATTTTTTAGAAATTTTATGAAATCGTAATGGAAGACATTGTAACTTCAGGAAGAAAACCACATCCTACTTTTTGGATTAAAAATGCTAAATCACATTTAGTGGCACAGGAACTTTTCTCAAGTCATTTGGTGACATTAATATTCGACCCTGTAAATACTTTTTCTGTGCAGTGAGGAGACAATTAGAATGTTCATGTTCAGAGGCCAGCTCATAGTCTGGTAATCTGTCAACCAACTGTGTGACAAACTTGACCACCTCTTCATGCCAGGGAACATTTTCCATTGTCAACGTTGAAGCTTTCGACTCACCACAGTAAGTGACACCTTAAATTAAGTGTGGATTAAAGACAAGACATTGCAATAGATCTAATTTAAATACTCAGTCATATTTTGCCAAATCTTATGTTACAACATGGGGTATGAAAACAAGACAACACCATTGTCAACATACTAGAACTAGTTAATCCTTAAACATTTGGAAATATCTTCAAAAATATACATATCTTTTATAGAAAACTTTTAAGAAAATCAATTTCAACCCTATAACAGTCAAGTGCATTTTTCTGTAGTGTCAAGCCATAGTTAGCATTTTCATGTGCTTGTCAAAAATGAGAAAATCCAAGACTAAATGAATTCAGAGATCCCTACAAGTATACATTTTCTGAAAGTATACTGGACAATGTATATTATGGTAGAAAAAGAATTTGTTTTTTATATTATGTATCTTTAACTTTATGGAGTATGAACAATTTTACTACTTAAATTTTGAATTCAACACAACCTAACACTCCATAAATTTTTCAAACTATCATATTATGTTTTTGAGATATTAGACACAAAATTCTTTCAAAAAATGTCCAGTTAGAGGTACTTAAATTGAAAATTGTAATATTAGTGAATTTTTTCATTCACTACCTTCAAATCTCTGTCATACAAAATACAAAGGTGAAAGCATGAAATGAGTTCAAAAATTCCTTTTCAATTTAAGTAATTAAATAAACTTTTTATTAATACTCAGGAATATACACAAACATAAATGTCTTTGAATATCTTTACGGTAGGTATTTGAGATCCAATCTTTATGAAATGAGTTCAAAAATTCCTTTTCAATTTAAGTAATTAAATAAACTTTTTATTAATACTCAGGAATATACACAAACATAAATGTCTTTGAATATCTTTACGGTAGGTATTTGAGATCCAATCTTTATCTTTTTCTGTTGGATTTACACTCGTTCCCAAAGCAATTTATCAGTAACAATACAACTAAGCTTAGTGCTAAATTTGTCAATATTTGACTCTTATGTTGCTATCATCACTAGAGCTAATGCCGTCATTAATAGCATGTGGAATATCTCTGAAATCATTGCTTTCATTTTTAATCCATTTGAAATAATTCCAATAAAGAAATTCTGTGTTGAATTTGCAATCTAGAGGGGGACCCTCTCTGGCATCAAACAGTAATAAAAATTGAGAAAATTTCACTCCCGATTTATCACAAAAAAATCCACAACAAAAGCAAGGATGGCAACGGAAATAGAAAGCAAACTCGTTTATGTAAATTGATTTCCCCTTAATCAATGTACATTTAATCAATCACATTTTTAATGTCAATTTTGCTAGCGGCTGATTATATCGGCTGTGACACCACAGAAAGGGGTTTAACTGCTGGCAGTTGTTACGCACTGACTTGTATTGGGAGAAATTAATCTCCTATTTGAATTTTAATTGGCTCGTTGTAAACAGTGCCTAACAAAGGACGATACCATAGAATCAACAATATTAAAGATACAACCCAAAACAGTTTTTAGTTACAATTAATAAGACTTATTAAGACTTAAGATTACAAAAGAAAAGAAAATATAATTACAATCTTCAACTTACAGTATGGTAGATCGTGTACCGGTACACAGTTAACACAGTTAGAATAATGTGCCAATAAATAAAGCGAAATAAACACATATGAGCACACAAATACACAAAGAATAAAACACGCCTCGTAAAGTTAATAAATCTATCTGAATCTCTGTCTCTTCGTATCTGTCAATCCTTTATATACATGTAGCGTAAGACGCTTCCAGAAGGACCTATGACGTGTTGTTTACATATCTCGGGTTAAGGAGCACATTCAAGAAGATACCCGGAGACATTCTACCCAATGTGTAATTGGAAGCCGATTGTAAACAAGATACATATACATCAAAGAGATTTAACCACGCCCACAACAGACGTTACTGTCTGTATTGCGAGGTCGAGGAAAGTTCACGCACAGGAAATTGTGCTACATAACACAGTTATAGGGTTAAGACACATCAAACTTCTTTAAAAAAACATATAATTATTTGATAAATGTCTTACTTTATGGGCAGCAATAGGTTAGCTGTCACATTTTATTTGTTACTGTACCTTGACTTCTATAAAGTCTGGATTTCCACGGGAGACCAGCTTAGCATAGTTATCTAGCTCTTCTGTGCTCCAAGATTTCACTAGTGTGAGCCTGTATACTGTCCTCTGACCTTTGTCCCTCAAAGCAGTTAGGCTGTCGATATATCTCTCCCAGAAGTCTTTGAAAAGTGGCCTGCCAGTAAATTATAAGAGTGTTAGACTGCCATAAAGCTTTAAAATAGATTAATTAGACACAAACAATTTGTGTCAATATAAAATATTAAAGTTAAACATATATTGTTATATATATATATTGACACAAATTGTTCATGTCTAATTAATCTAAATCATGCCAGTAAAGAGTGGTTTAAAAATTAATTTAATAATAGTTTGGTTATTAGAATATTAAATTGTATTTAATGTGTCTTTGTATGGTAATTTGAAATTGTATTTAATGTATCTCTTGGTATGGTCATTTAAATTTTCAAATATTAAATGGTATTGAAATAAGTATGAAAATGTTTGTTGACAGATCTTTACATGTCAAATTTACCTGTCAATTTTTTTCAAACTCTCCTTTGTCCCAGCATCTACACTGACATAGAGCTGTGCTACAGGCAGAAGATCTCTAGAACATGAGAAACAAAAAACAGTAAAATGATGTCTACTGACCTGTTTACCCCCAAACTCCTAAAATCGTACAATATGGTCTCAAAATCGTACAATGCAGTATTTTGATAGTAAATAAATAAAAAATACAGTATATTTAATGTATACAATAAATCCTCCTATAGCGTGTTCAGTGGAATCGAGTTAAGCTGGCGTCAAAATATGGAACTGTAAGTAAACAGTAGATGACTGACGTTAGCCGTTAACTGCGGTCACTTTGTGTAGCAGACAGACGCGTATCGGCTGATAGATATCAATTAATAGTTGGGTGAACGTGCTGATCACATTATCCCAGTCTGTCGCTGGTAAAAATAAGATCACTGGTGAAAGTTCAAACCTGACTTCAGATAAGCATAAAAAAAAAAGTATAAAAAAAAAAAAGAATTACCCGGTAACAAATTGGGGCCCCCCCCCCCAATCCCCGCCTTTTTTGTGTGTACGCTACAGTGAGCTTTAAAACACCAGCAGCCAGCCCCCCCCCCCACCCCCACACACAAACTTAACAAAATCCGTTGCATTTTTCCGGTGGCTGGGGCTTCCTCATCGGGGCGTTGCGAAATATTTTTAAAAATTCATTATTTTATTTACACTTTTAAACCAATGTGACAACTTTCGGTCGTGGTGCAAACAGTAACCCACTAAGTAATTGCTGTTTGCAGTTCCAGATGGCGCTCAGTGACCTACATACAAGTTATATTTATTTTTATCCAACCCTTATTTTATTTGTGTATTTGCTATTTCGAATTGTACATGTTTAGAATTCAACAAAAACGTAGTGTGGCATAGGCGCGGAAAAACGAAAATTTTAGAACCACTGGTGTAGCCCACCGAATTTTACGTAACACGTAGCCTTACCATTCGGTGGACTAACCATTACTGTAATTTCTCTAATACCCAGTTTAGGTATAGCTAGCGAGTTCATTTGTGAAAATACATCTTGACAACATCACGACGGTGATTCCTACTAAACATTGGCTGGTATTTTACAGCATTCGAGATATAAATGTGCTATTTTAGGACTTTCAGACTTAAAAGTATATTAAAACATTACTAATGGAAAGTTAATCGATTTTTTTTGCCCCCCCCCCCTAGAAAGTTTTCTGCGGCCGCCCATGCCATCTAACTATTACGTAAAACAAAGGCCCATCTAACTATTACGTAAAACAAAGGGCCATCTATTACGTAAAACAAAGGGCCATCTAACTATTACGTAAAACAAAGGGCCATCTAACTATTACGTAAAACAAAGGGCCATCTAACTATTAAGTAAAACAAAGGGCCATGTTACTATTACGTAAAACAAAGGGCCATCTAACTATTACGTAAAACAAAGGGCCATCTAACTATTACGTATTATGTACGCGCTGAGGATGCATATGACAGGGGGTGAGGGGATGTCAATAGACTGCACCTACATTTATGCATACAATAATTATCCTGACTGTCTCTTATAGAGTCAACTGTCATCTGAAAATCTGTGAATTCTAATTAGGCCTTTTATTATTATTATTATTAAGGCTATAAAAAATATTACAATATTTCGCAGTAAGCATATAGGCCTACTCATATAAGCTACTTATGCTTTGTGTTTTTCATAAAGAGATCCCTGTAGTTGTAACATTGAACATGACATAGTGATAACACACTGCAGTCCAGTAATTCGTCTTTCCGTGCTGGTGAGTGCTGGTGGACGAAAGTTATTTCTACCGGGCAGAACCCCCCCCCCCCCTCATTTCTGGGGAAAAAATTGAGCTGTTTGATTTTTTTTCCGTTAAAAAAAAGGGGTGGGATTGGGGGGGGGGGGCAGTATTAGTAGTGATAACAGAACTGTCATATTACGATCGCTGAGGGTAAAGAGCTGCTTTGCGAGTTCTACACATATTTTGTTTAAATGCCGACTAGCTCTTATAAAATATGTCCACATCCAACGTTCCAGTGCAGAACAGTGGGATCATGTATTTTAGTGTAAAAACCGTCTCTTCTCTAGTTTTCTCCATTTTCACAATCGCCGCGGTTCAAGGGAACGAAACTACGTCACACGTTTGGAAGCAGTCAAAGGGGATGGCAGTGGATAGTATAAATATCACCAGTGACGCAGCTAACTAGGTCAGTGTGACACACAAACCAGCAGTAGGACAATCATCACCATCAATACGATACTTTGCGGTGATATTTTTATAACCTTTGACACTCCGACCAACCCCCCACCCATGCGTCCCGTATGCCGCAAATCTCCTTCATTATCAGCCCCCACCTCCACTCTCAGTGCGCACATGATATAATGAAGGATGGTCCCAACTTTTAAAAAAATTACAACCAATCATTTTTTCTCGTTTCATTCACTGCCAGATTTTTATTGGGAAAGGCTAAAACTTCAACAAACAAATTTTAATCGGAATTTTTAATTTTTTTTTTCACCTGGCCTCTGAAAATCGTAGTTTTGGCGAGTCTCGGCGTACAATCGTAAAAGACATCTCAAAATCGTACATTGTACACCAAAATCGTAAGAGTAAACAGGTCTGTGTCTAATTACCATCATGTCAAAATATTATTTTATGATTCAAGTTACATTATATATATTTAATCAAGAGAATTGTGACTGTTATGATAAAAAAATATGTTAGCTCACCTAAGTTCTTTAGGAAACTGAGCATTGGTGACCAAGAAACTGGAGATCTGTTTACTATGAAAAAGTTCAACAAATTTGTTTATTTCTGGATACATGATTGGTTCACCAACTAAAGATAATGCACAATGTTGAATATTCATGGCTTCTTTAAATCTTTAAGGCTGAACTCCAGGGACTCCTGACAGAAAAAAAACAAATACAATTTCAACTCCATTAAAAAGAAATGTTTTTTAATTAACTTTTTATTTTTACAATTCTTCATTCAATTCTATTGGAAAAGCCATGTAAAATTAAGCAAAGCACACAACAAGATTTTAAAACTATGTCAACAAACAGTTAACTGCCCTTCTTTAAACTATATCACCCTTAAATTGTTTGATCAGCTTTATGTGATTATTTACAGCTCCTTCAAACACAGTCTGTGGGTCATCCATTTTCCACTTCCATTCTGTCCCTACAGGATTTGTGAGATGTCTTGATTAAGGGAAGATAAAAGTGTTTTCATATGTTAAAATGAACAATCTTTTTTTTTTTTTTCACATGAAAATAAACAATCTCTTTGCAAGTATAGATCAGGCATAAGTCTTTAAAAAAACACTTTTTAAAAAATTAAAAAATTGTGTTTTAAAAAGAAAACAAAATTAAATTTTCTGATTCTCACCTCCAACAGAAAACACATTTATTAGCACAGGCAAGGCTTGGTGTTTCCATGCATCTGTGACTTTCAATACCATAAAATGTGTGTTTGTAGCATCCTCCACTTCCCCGAAGCATTGACTTCATTAACATGAAAAGTGTTTTTTTTTAAAATTACTAGATTATAGATTGTATGACATATTCCTATAATCGAACATTACAAAAATAAATACTTGAACATTAAAGGGTCCATACTTCTACATTAAGGTGGAGAAATGTACATTTTTAGATTCAATTTATATTTAATCTGAAAACATAAATGCTTTAACTCTCAAAAGACTGTAGATTTTTCCAGTTTTTAATGACCTTGAATATATCTTATTCTTCACTGTGTCTCATGGCTGTAATTTTGTAGCTACCTACAAGTATTATATATCAATTTGAAGGTAATTAGATGCTTTTTATTTGATATTTGGTGTTTGTTCAAAATATCCTTGCTAAATTTGATTTTTTATTATTTTTGGGCAAAAAAAAATTTTTTTTTAAGTCGACAAAAACATAACATCACATTTTTACAAAGAAGGAAAATAAAAAGTGTTTCGAAATATATCAATAATATTGATATTTTATTAGAATCTTTTCAATACTACAAAACATATTCAAATTTCAAAAGAATAGACTCATAAATAAAAAAGTTATGACTTTTTGTAGGCAACATATCATTCAAGGAAATATTGCTAGCAAAAGTCAAAATTATTTTTAAAAAAATAATAATTATCCCTTAGAGCAGGGGTTCCCAACCTTTTTTTACTCTAGAGCACATTCTAAAATATCGGTAGGGTGGCGGGCACCACCTATTTTAAATCGACAAACTCCTTCCATAATTTGTCATTTTCCCATAATTTATTTTCTTATTTTCTTATAGTCATAATGTATAAATAAATAATAAACAAAAATGTTTCAAAATAATAAAATTATTTGGCATTTTTTTCAAATTGCATACACACAGAGAAATGTATTTACAAAATGTAAAGAAAGTAAACAAAACACACAAATACAAAGAAAACATTTAATTAAAAAATATAATAAAGTCAATGTGATCTTTGGCATTGCATTTCATTGGCCAGAGCTTCATAATTAGGAGCGTATGACGATAATCCTGTTAGCAGACAATCATAAAGATGCTCATCGGTGAGTCGAGATCTATATCTTGATTTTATTAAGTTCATGTTTGAAAACAATGATTCGCATAAATATGTCGAACCGAAAAATGATTCAATTTTATATGCCGCTTTTTTCAACAATGGGAACTTTTCTCTATCCACTGTATTCCAAAAGTCCTCTGACATTAAGGATTTTAGCAAAATATCATTCTTAAGGTCCAAAATTTCTAACTCTAGTTCTTCTGTCTTACCTTGAACAAAATCTGCAATACATGCGGCTATTTCCATAACATTTATTTGGCAAGTAAAAGGATTGATACAGAAGGAAACTATTGGCTCAATATGTTTAAACTGCAAA